TGCAGTAGCATTGCCTTGGGCCGGAGACGCAGCCGTTGCCTGGCAGCTATGGGTTTCCAGGGAAACCAGAGGTGCTAACTTGTTAATGAGCCCCACGTCCCTGATTGCTGCTGCAAAATAATAATAATTAGTAATAGGCCCATGATTTAGGAATCCCTCAAACAGCGTGAGCCTGCCGAGGGGAGTTCGCTAAGTGCTGAAGCACTTGAAAGAAGTGAGGGGATGGGGAGGGTAGAAAGGGTGGAGGGCTTGGCAGAAGTGCTGTGTTTTACATCTTAGTGTCTGGAGAGCTGAGGGCCAATGGGGTCCTGCCAGTGTCCCAGCGATAAGCCTGGGGCTGGTGGCAAGGGTGACCTGGAAGGATGGAGGAGCCGTGGCCAGGCACCATCTTGCTGCAGGGCTCGGAGGACATGGGTATTTACCCAGGTGGGCTGCAGGGGAAAAAGCCAGATCACTTAGCTCGGTGCAGCTGAGTCCCCGGGTGGAGATGGCCGTTCTTTGGGAATGGCTGTTTTCGTGGGTGACTGGGGACAACTGAGCAGGCATTTCTCTGTGGTGCTCTTATCCCTTGGTAAACTTAGGATAGAGGTGCCACCAGAAGAGCGTGCTCTTGGGATGAGCATCACAGGGAGCATGCTGTAGATACAGTCTTGCTTACGTGATGGAAATGTGTTCATGGGGTCAGAGCTGCTTCCCGCAACAAAGCTGGCCCGCCCGAGGCAGTGAGGGGAGCATCTCCTCAACTGGACTGTGTGTGGAGGGTAGAGCTCTCCAGGACACAACCACTAGCTTGGTGCGAAGAGTGGATGTGCTGGTTGGTGAGGCTTATGGTTGCTACAGAGACATGCTGGCATTCCAGCTGATGTCTCCAGTACAAGAGAAACCGGATCTGTGCCCCTCCCATACCATGTGTGTCAGATGGGGGTCTTGTGCAAGATGAGAAATAGAGGGAAGTGGCCTCCACCTCCGTGACCTGTGTTGGGCCAGCACAGGGATGAGTTCCCTTGGTCCGTCACGCCACGTGGATAGACTCGGGCTGGGCCATGCTTCACATTTTCTTGCTCCCTTGCCTGGCCTGATCAGAAGAGAGTCACAGCCAGGTTGAACACTTGCCCTTAGCCCAGCTTGCCATGTGCACCTCTGTCACGCTGGTGACTTGGGTGGCCAGCACCCCTCACCTGACACGCATGTCCGTGGAGGTGACACCTGGGACAGAGTCCTGACGTGCGGGCAGTTGGCCCAGCCTGTGTGCTAAGCTCTGCCCGTCTGTCTGTCCCTCGGCCACAGCGTGGCCTCTCCTGTTTGGCTGTTCCCATTCAGCTAAAGCCGTGTGCCCGTCTCCTCATTACAGGCACTCCAGGGAGAGGTGGGATTAAAGGATTATGGTAATGTTCTTCAGGAACACTCAAGAAGATTAAGATGGCTTTAATAAACTGATAAGAGAGGGACACAGCTATGTTTCTGAAACCCTAATTTAGGTTCCAGGTTAACCTTTTCCCCTGGTCTCCTGTCACCATGGTGAGAAGATCTCTTACTTTAGCATTGCTCCATGACTATGCCTGTTCCTTCAGTTTTCCTTTTGACCCATCTGAGCAGAAGCAGAAAGACCTCTTCCTTCCTTCTCTGGTAGCCTTCCCCAGGTATGGAGGCATTAGTGCTTGTTCTTCTTAGAGACCATCTCGCACACAGACTGTGAGGTACTGTGAAGGTCTGGTAGGCTCTGCTGGTACCTGGCGTACCTGTTAGCTGGCGATGAATCCACCACCCCTCAGTCTGGCTTCCAAATGTCCTGCGGCTGCTGGCAGACAAGTGGCTCATCTGCCTTTGATCTGGCTGGACATACTCGTAGAGAAGTCCCAGTGTCTTGGGTCTAACACCAAGGTTACAGCTCCCTATGACTGCACTCAGTTGGTGATCTCTGTCCCCATAAAGGGTCATGGAAAGAGGGTCAGAATGTACCCACCTTGCCCTGCCTTCTTCCACATCTTTCGGATGGAGCTGGGAGTGGGACCTGGTTGATGTGTCACATGTGTCTGCCACCGGGTCCACCTGGGCATGCTGGAGCAGACGTTTAACCGGTTGTTCTGCACAAGGCCGGCTATTAGCTGAGCTGGAAAACCTCCTCGGCTGTCTTCTCCAATCTCTTCCACTCAGGCTCCTGGTCATCTGCCAGAACTTTGTGCGTGGAAGGCCTCTCCTGAACAGAATTCTCTCAGGGCAGTTAGGTGATCAAGGATCTGTTACCTTTCCCAGACCCCTGCATCTGTGTCTGAGACCCCCTTGCTCATTATCTGGAGAGCAGACACCGCATTATCTCCAAAGATACTGTGCAATGTGCCCCCCCACAGGTTGGATCACTCCTTACTCCCTCTTTAGTCTTTCACTCTTCTCCCTCTGCCGCGGTATTATCCCCATCTTTTTTGTCTGTCGATTGTCTCCATTCCGTTTTTATTTCTTGGATGTAATTGAAAGAGCTGAGAAGAATTCGCAGCCCGGTGTCCTGATGGGGAAGGGAGGCAGAAAGTGATTTGGGGAGTGGGGTGTGAAAGGAAGACTGAGGGGAAAAGCTGGCTAATTTGCATCCTTTCTGAGTGCCCTGGCTCTATAGCCAAGGTACAGCAGGGGGTCTTCTGGCAAGGCGGTAGCGACGTAATGAGGTGTGTCATATCCCAGCAGGAGCCAGCCTCGCTCCCCCTCAGACCCCCTAATTAGAAATGTTTCAATTTTTAAGCTCCCCTGGAGGAGTGCTGGGGGGAGGCGGGGGGAGTGGGGTTCCTGGGGCGGGGGGACCACCAGCCGCCCACTGAGGGGGCAGCTCTAATTGGAGTCACCGCGAGGAGCCGCAGAGTGGTACCAGCTCGTCGTGGGGCTGGGGACAGTGGTTGCGTAGTGCCATGGGGCTGCCAAAACGCTTTGTGCCAAGAGGGGCCATCACTATTGCAGCTTTTAGGGGATTTACACACACACACACACACACACACACACACTCCAATTTGAATTAACATGTTGGCAGAGGCAACAGGAGTGTGGTACAGGGGCAGGGGAAGATTGCACATCCCGTTGTGGCCTCGTATTGGGAGCCTGGACCCTGGGCTGATGCCTGGTACATCTACCCCTTGCTTAGGGAGGTGGGGCTGGAGTCATGAGCCAGAACCCCCATCCTCATATTCTGTGGCTTTCCATCCTTTTCCCACAAGATGGCTGTGTCCTCCAGAGCCGGTGACTGGTAACTGAGGTCCCTGTCGTTGCACACAGTAGCATGTCCTACCCAAGCATCTCTCTTGTGTCCTGAGCAGTAGGTGCCCACACCGCAGGGGCTTCAGGTGTAGGAGCTCCCAAGAACTGCCAGCTTGCTCAGATCAGGGTGACTCGTAAGCCTCCTCTAGTCCATGGACTAAATCCTGGCCCTGCAGAAGTCAATGAAAATCTTTACACTGGCCTCTTCAGGCATGGTATTCATTGTCCTCCTGATTCAGATCCATTAAAGCTTCTGTGGAACAGCTTGTGGGTTCTCTCTAAAACACCGTCTGGCAGGAACAAGAGGAGCCCAGGCTTATTTTCTGAATGACTGCAGCGGCATTAAAACCTAATGCCATTAAAACATGCCTGCAATGACGTGTGCCATTAAAACCAAAGAATACACCCTGAGCTGAATGCCCCCCAGCTTGCCTATTGCTCTTGCAGACCCCATGGGCTGGGCATGGAGGAAGCTTGTTCTTCTGGTAGCTCTTCAGAGAGCGCCAGGCTTGACCCTCCTCAGCACCTAAGATGGAGCCCAGATAAGTAGCCTTGTGTACGAACCCCCTTCCAAAATCTGTGCAAGTTAGATGCTGGAAAGCAGTAGTCACTTTGGGGCCATCTCGATCCAAGTACAGCTTCCCAGGGCCTCTGCCCTAATGCCCAGGCTGTTTGTTGAAGGCAGGAGTGAAGGTCAGCTTGACTTCTTGGCTTGCAGAAGAGGTCGTCTTCTCTTGACTTCCCAGAAGGCAAGCTGGCAAGATATCCATGAGCAGAATCTGATAGGTGAAATCCAGGGTGAAGTGGTGAATGTGGGTGAGCAAACCCGATTTGGTGGTGTGTCTGATGAGCCCAGAACTAGCTGTTACCATGCAGCAGCAAAACCTTAGAGCTGAGCTAAGCTGCTTCTATGAAACCATTAGCTTCATGCTCAGCAGAGGTCAGAAAAAGCAAATTGATTGCGAGGAGTTGTTGGGCTGGGAACAGGGAAAGGAGGAGACATCTTGCCCCGTGCAGGTCCCTGGTGTGCCTGCCTCTCAGACACAGCATGTCAGGGCTGGCCGGGGTGGCAAAAGGCGTCTGTGCAACAGGCAGCTCTGTAGATGCTCTGACCTGAACGGCGTCTAAATGTGGTGAGAACTGTGGGGAAAGTGATTAGAGAATGGGCATGTGTGGCCTCTTCCAGTGCAAGTACTAAGGGTCACCCAGAAGAGCCATCAGTTAGCAGATTTGGAGCAAACCAAGGGAAGGACTTCATCGTAGCTGACAAATTGTTCTGCTCCCTCCCACCGGCCACTGTGCTTGTTAAAAGCTTCAAAAAGCACTTAGATGAATTCATGGAAGAAGGCTCTGCTGAAGGCTATTAAATACAAAGAGAAGACCTCTGGCTTGGGCAGCGCTGGAGCCACAGGCGCCCGTGGGCTGATAGAACATACCTAGGAAGTGTGGCCTGTTGCACTGTTACGCTCTTGTGAAGGCATCTTCTGAAGGCCAAGCCCTGGGGGACTTGGCCCAAGGTGAGTGTTGCATCCTGCCCAGCTGATGGGTCGTCTTCTCCTTTCCTCTCTTTCCAGGTTCAGCACAATGAGTTGGCATCCTGGGTGTTAGCAGCGTGAGGAGCTGCCCTGACAGCACCAGGACAGGTGCTGCCCTGCTCACCCCTTACCCCCTCGCTTGTTCCCCTCGGGGAGACGGGTGCTGGCGTCCCTGCCCTGCCCTTCCGCCCTGTGCCCCCCACTCGCCATAGAGGGGACGGGCCCGTTATGGCTGGGGACAAGCTCCCACGCAAGGTGATGGACCCGAAGAAGCTGGCCAGCCTCCTGAGGAACGGAGCGGAGGGCACCCTGGTCATCGACAGCCGCTCCTTCGTGGAGTACAACTCCTGGCACGTCCTCAGCTCCGTCAACATCTGCTGCTCCAAGCTCGTCAAGAGGAGGCTCCAGCAGGACAAGGTCTCCATCACAGAGCTCATCCAGCCCGCCTCCAAGATGAAGGTAGGGGATCTGGCCCTCACCTTTCCTGGTGGACGCTCGCTCCCCCTTCCCCAGCAGGAAGGGGCAGGGTGGGGGTGGGATGCAGACTGGCCTGGCATCCTCCTCCTCCTCCTCTGTCCCTTGACCTTGCT